CCCCCAGCCCGACCGTCCCCCGCCCCGGGCAGCCCCTCCTCGTGTCCAGGCGCCCACGTCTCCCGGCCCTTCCGCAGGCCTCGGGCTCCTGCCGGCGTCGCAGCCTCTTCCCCGTGCTCCCCGCAGGTCCCTGCCCTGCACCCCCAGGCCTCGCGCGGGACCCGCGGGTCGCCCCTGTCCCCACCCCGCCCTCGGCCTCAGGCCCTTCCCCTGCACCCTCGTGGCCTCCGCGGCGTCCCTGGGCCCGCCTGGCCGCTCTCTGCCACCTCTCCTCCCCCACCGCAGGCTCCCCTGCACCCTCACTGCCGCCCGGGCCCCGCACACCCCACTTCTCTCCCCCTTGCTGCCCTGCGCGCCTCCCTGGATTGCCCTGCTCAGCCAGTCCAGCCGCCGCCCCCGCTGCGCTCTCGGACCCTCCCGACCCCCGATGCTTCTCTGCCCCGCCTGGGCCCCAGGTCTCCCCTGGCTTTCCGGGAAGCTCCCGCCCTCTACCCCCCCCCACGGCCCTCTGCCCCGGCGACTGCCCTGTCCCACGCTGCCCACAGGTTTGGACACCCCCCCACTTGCCCAGCCCCCCGGCTTTGCTGGGCCCCTTTCCCAGCTGCTCAAACTCCGGGTGGCCCTCCAGCCCCGCTCGCCACCCCCACACTCCCTGAAGAGCCCTGGAGCTGCAGGCCTCAGGCCGGGTCGGGCTCTTGTTCGCCCTGTCCCTTCTTCCTGCCCGCTCTGCGGACCTGTTCTGCCCTCCCACACGCCCCTCCCCGCCCGCCCGCCCGCTTTGTCCTCGGAGCTGCCCCCCCACCCTGGGGAGGGAGCAGGTGCTGGGCTCCCTCCCTGCCCTCCCCCGCTCCGGGCTGCCTGGGGCTTCACCCGCAGCCTGACTCCCTCCTGAGGGCGGCGCGCCGGCTGGGAGCGGGCCCTGACTCCCGGCTCCGCTGAGCCCTTAGGGTCATCCCAGGCTGCTGAGCAGTCGGCCTCCCCGGGCCAGGAGGACTGTCTGCGCCGGGTCGCCAGCCTCCCGGGACTGGCAGGGCCCCGCCGGCCGGCGGAGAGGCTCGTGGCTCCGCGGGCAGGGGCCCGGGGCTCCCACTTCGCGGCGTGAGGTGACGGCCGCTCTCCTCCCCGCTCAGGGCCCAGGCCGCCTCCTGGACTGGCCGGGCGTGGAGCGCGCACCGCCGCGGCGGCGCCCCCTCGGCGGGCGCCCGGCCCCTGCCTCGCTCGGCGCCCGCCCTCTGCGGGAGGCAGCATGGTGCGCGGGGGCCATGGGGCCCGACAGAGTGACCGCCCGAGAACTGTGCGAAAACGACGACCTGGCCACCAGCCTGGTCCTGGACCCCTACCTGGGCTTCCGCACCCACAAGATGAACGTTAGGTGAGGCCCCCGCGGGCGCAGGGCGGGACCTGGGGCCCTGCCTCCCAGCCAGCCCCGCGCCCCCTCAGCTCCAAACGGGGTCGCGGCGGGCGGGCAGGCCCGGAGGGCTAGGCCGAGCCGGGACCCAGGCGTGCCCTCTCCCCCAGCCCCGTGCCCCCCCTGCGGCGACAGCACCACCTGCGCTCAGCGCTGGAGGCCTTCCTCAGGCAGCGGGACCTGGAGGCCGCATACCGGGCCCTGACGCTGGGAGGCTGGATGGCCAACTACTTCCAGAGCCGGGGCCCGCGGCAGGAGGCTGCCCTCAAGACCCACGTGAGGGAGCCCACCCTTCCCCGCCCTCCCCACCCTGCGGCCACGGGACCCTCAGAACCCCGGGAGAGCCCGTGGCCCGCGGGGCCAGCCTCTTCCTTTGACAGAGATCGCTGAGGCCCCAGAGGGGAAAGTGAGCTCCGCCGGCGCTCTGCAGGGGCGGAGCCCGGAGAGAGGGGGCGCTGCGGCCCTGCCCCACCTCCTCACCGCCCCCCTCCTCCCCAGATCTGCCGCTACCTCCGCGCCTTCCTGCCCGAGAGCGGCTTCACCATCCTGCCCTGCACGCGCTACTCCATGGAGACCAACGGGGCCAAGATCGTGTCCACCCGTGCCTGGTACGCGCAGGGACCTGGTCGAGGGCGCCCGCCGGCCGCTGACCAGAGCCGCAGCGGCGGGCTAGCCTCGGCCGAGACCGGCGGATGAGCGCGGGCTGGG